ACTGGTTGCGGCGGTACAACACCTGTCCCAACGAGTGCCCCGCCATCAGCCATAAGGACATCGTGTCGGCGCCCAAAGTCCTACTCAAAGCCCTACACGACCTGAAAATACGGTGCGATTTTCACACGAATGGCTGCAAATCAGTGCTAAAACTGCGGGAACTGTCCGAACACAGGCAGAGTTGCGGCTTCAAAGCGCCCGAACCTCAAGACCCGCAACAACTGTGCGATACTTGCGGTCAGTCCTACTCAGCCGTCGGCGCCGACACTCGCCGTCACAACTGTATAGAGAGTCTGAAGCGTAAACTCGATGTCATTCACACAGAAAATCATCGTTTGTGTCGCGAAAACAATGAGATTAAGAGTGAATTGGATTTAATGAAACTCATCGCCCATTCAACCGATGATGAGGTGAGTTATGAGATTAAGGTGTTTATCCCCCGATGTTATTGATTAATCTCGGTCATTGGGAGGCGATTGTATAGATAATAATACCTTAAAGTATTATAAATACTGATCAAAATCTCAAGTGTTTTCAATGTTTGTCAAGTGTTTTGAATAATGTTTGTTAAGTAACTCTTAGTACTTCACAGAGGGGTTAACAGACACACAGATTAGCGCTAAAAAAGATCGCTATAAGTGCTGATAATAAATGCAATCAATAGTTATTTTGTCATTTTTTAAGAAATAATAATTAAATCCTGCATTAATGAGAATCAATACTTAAAATATGCGATAATTTAGTGCAGTATAAGAGCCAAAGACCAACATTTCTGCTCATATTTACGTATCAAACGATTCAAAGTCTTAAAAAACAAAACGATTTCTTCATAATTATCAACACAAAGACAGATATCATAAAAATGACAGAAATAACAAAAATATCAAACTTTTAAAAACAATCTCAACAAACGATTGCTTAATATTAAAATCCAGATAAACAATCCAGATAAAACTTTTAGTGTACAACACTATATCATTTACAAAACAATACAAGTTGCTAAACAATTATTTACCTTAATCACAGAGCCATACGCACGACTATACGGGCAGATACGAACTAACCCGATCCATTAACCATGATCAAATACTACGCAAAGTGGGTGCGGGCCAGACATACATCGACCACTGGAACAGCCAAAAACATAGCGTACAGATCAGCCGATTCGGCGACGCCTACTGTATGACCACTGGCAACGGCA